TGACTGGCAGGCGCAATGCCCAGGCATTGTCACTAATCTTTTCTCTATATGTATAAAATGTGGATTGGGGTCCTGGCGGCCCATTAGGGCGCCACTGCCAGTCCCATTACCAATAAGAAAATGTTAATGGCCATCTGGCCTGGGAGACTGCATCAGATACAGGTTATAACACATTCTCCCGGCCACCACTGGCCTTCTGCACTGCCGCGATCTCCCTGTGGAGCCGCGGTGTTGCCAATCCCCATGACATTTGTTCAAAAGGGAGAAATGTCATCTAAAGCACCATCTCCTGGAGGGGCCATGGGCACAGCCCTAAGGCCGCCCCCTCAAACCTCACCACACCTTGGCTGCAGCTGCTTCCCTCGACACAAAAATCGACGGCACGCCCTCGCTAAAAAGGAATTCTCAGATTACATGCCTCCTGCAGGGGTCGAACCTACGACCTTCGCGTTATTAGCACGACGCTCTAACCGACTGAGCTAAGGAGGCGAGAACCGAGGACACATGTCTGATTTTTTTTGCGCAGAGAAAACTATTTGTAGCTATTGACAATGATTAAAGAAGCCGTACGCGCTCGCATTCCCGCTGGCATGCACTAAACTTGGATCGACGCCGCGCACCCAGCAGGCAAGGGGAAGGTCATCCCTGCGAAGAAATACCCCCAAGAATACGTGTCACGACTGATAAACATTTTATAAGCACTCATTGACATTAGTGAGCTTAAGTGCCAGGCAGACTGAACTGTGAGTACCTAACAGCCAAGAAGCTCGCTCCGATTATCGCGAACTTACACATTAGCTTTGGCCAATTGCATTTAGTCATTCATTAGTATGTTCATTAAGCCTGGGGGAGTTCGAACCATAAGCCCATTCAAGGTACAGGGAGCACACGTATCTATTGCTAGGGCAGAAATGCCAAGGGAACTGACAACGTAGATAGTGATGATGTAGCTAAGTGTGATAGCCTGGCTAACTCATTTTTCAACAGGCAAATTGAGGCCACGCCGCAAGCATACGAATCACACACGATTCACAGGTGCAGTCCCTCTTCACTGCCAGATATGCATGTCTGCACTTATGAACTAGGATCCCCGCGATAGCCAGCTTACAAGTGCCTCTATATATTTCTATTTTGTGTGCAGCAGCACTGGGATCGCATGGGCACTTGACAATGCAGTCTAGCTAGCCTGCTGCATTGTTCGGTATCTACACTGCAATTCGGCCTTGGATTCAATAACAAGTGATGTTTGATATTCATGATTAGGTAATATTTCATTTAGGCATAACTTTGGCATGTGATGAATGCATCTAGGAAGGCCTGGACGAAAAATGGAGCTGTGCTTGGATGCATGCTCAAGATTTTGATCAATAAAATGTCGCCTGCCATACGTCTGTCATTGTCTAAGGCCAACCAGCGGCTCGTGTGATATCAAAGAATATCTCAAGCTAGACAACCTGATGCGGAGAGTCTGCGTATATTATATAACTACATGCGGTTGACAAGGTAAGCCATTAGATGGGCAACCACGGCGACATTGAGACTATTGCCCAGGAGACGGTATCGCTGTTGCAGAGTGACAGAGGACGGGAATTGGAACTCGTCTGGAAATCCCATGAGACGTGCGACCTCCCGTTCAGTAAAATACCGCGTATTGTCGATGGTCTGGGCTCCAGGCTTGGCCTCACCCCTGAACTGCAAGACAGAGCCGGTCCCTTCAGCATATTTGTGGTAGCTCTTGGTAAAGCAGCAGGAGCGGCGAGACTGTGGGGTGACAACATCAAAGACCCAGCCCCGCTTTTCGAGCAAATCATGGTCAATGCGGTATTTTGACCCGTGCTCGGAGGTGAGGTCGAAGTCTGGCTCAAGATAGTCCTGAATCGGTCGGACGTGCTTTTCATCCCACGCGGACCGTTCAAAATTCACGAGCCCATCGACTGGGTCAATCACGGGTAGGGCCATATAATCAAGGTCGGGGATTGTGTGCCGGAATTGTGTTTCACAGGCCTTTGCAATGACATTACCGACGGCTGGTAACGCAGGCCCATCGAGGAGCTTGGCTAAGAGGTAGTACCGGGTCCGCGAGTTTGGGTATCCGATCTGCAATGGGTTGATGAGGAACTCCTCGTACTTGTAGCCCAGCTCAGCCAGGCGCTGAACAAGAATGCTGCGGGTGTCGGACCTCTCGAATCCCGCAACATTTTCGATTAGGATATGCTGCGGCTTATTAGTCAGCGTGGGGAGCAGGTCAAGTAGGAAGGAGAAGCTCTTCGACCGGGGATCGTGGGAACCCTGCTGCTTCCCCTGTCGCGTGTAGGGTTGGCAGGGCGGGGACATCGTCCACAAGTCAGCCCTGAGGGCCTCAAAGAGGGACTTGGGCAGGGCCTCGATATTTCTCTGCATGACCTTGACGCTGGGGAAATTATGCCGGTACACTCGGTTGGCGAGATCGTTGATGTCAAAGGCACACACAACTTGGCCCTCGCCCAAGGCGGACTTGAGGGCAAAGTGCATGCCACCGATGCCACTGTAAAACTCTGCTACTCGAAGCGCAGGCATACCAGTCGGGAGTCCTGGGAGTGGTTGGGAAGGACGTATGTGATATTTGTGAGAGCGGGCTGGCGTAGCAACGAAGCCAAGGGGGCGTCATGGGTTGGGATTTGCTTACAGGCCTTTCCTGCGCACTGTGACTTCGGTTATGGGCATGGAAAACTCAAGCAGGGGGGGGAGGGCTTACAAAGCGCATCCAGCTCTACACGGACATGCATTAACGGATACCAAGTCCATGACTGGCAACGTCGAAGATAAGCAGTAGCGGCAACAACGTCTCGGAAGACAGACAGTTGGCGAGAGGGTGCATAACTCCAAGTCAGGTAAAGTGGCCATACCATTGCATAATGTAAATTTCGAGGCTTCCTCCCACAGAATAAGGGAAGAGAGAGAGGGCGATCAAACGTTTATTTGCGCAACAGCATTAGACCCAAAAATCGTACACACACACACACAAATGCAAACGCGTGCCAAGGGGAGTAGAGATCTAGCACTTGACTTCCTTGAGGCCATCCTTG